TGGATAGATTGTGTTTCTCTATCTACCTCTGTATGGTCCTAAGTACACATAGAGTTTGGACAGATTGTGTTTCTCTATCTACCTCTGTATGGTCCTAAGTACACATAGACTTTGGATAGATTGTGTTTCTCTAGCTACCTCTATGTGATACTTACATCAACCTATGTATTAGAAGGTTTTGGACAGACTTTGTATCTCCATCTCTTTGTGGGCCCTACATCTGCAGAGAGACTATAAGGATTTGGATACACGGTTTCCTCCGTTGTTGTGCGAGTAATTCATTCACAGACTTTTGATAGACTATGTTTCTCCATCTCTGTACGGGTCCTACATCTACAGATTGATTAAAGGGCTTTGAATAGACTGTATTTCCCCACTAATGTGTGGGTCCTACATCTGTAGAGAGACTATAAGGATTTGGATACACGGTTTCCTCCGTTGTTGTGCGAGTAATTCATTCACAGACTTTTGATAGACTATGTTTCTCCATCTCTGTACGGGTCCTACATCTACAGATTGATTAAAGGGCTTTGGATAGACTGTATTTCCCCACTGATGTGTGGGTCCTACATCTGTAGATGGTTCTTGCACATTCTTAGCTCTATCTTTTGGCAGGAAGCTCATGTAATATTTTCATTTTGTGTTTGTTCACTATACGGTAGATATATTAGAACCTATGTATATATAACTGGCTGATATGTTACTACCATTTAAGGCTCCTGCAGTCTTAGAGTAAACCACGGTATGTTGGGCAGCTAATTAAAACGAGCCCAATTACCCTCTTCCCTCACAGTGATTTAAATGTCTTCAAACCACAGGAAGTAAGCCACGGACAGCGCCATACCCCCAGTCGTGGGCAGAGTCACAACAAGCGTGGCTCCAGCAGGAGAGCAAGAGGCCACGAAGGGCTCTCCTCAGAAAGTCACTGGCATAGAGAAGGTCCTAACTACTGGGGCATGTGGGATCACAAAAATCACATTTGTGATCGCTTAGACTCTCCTGGTAAGTTATCGTAGAATAAAATACCATGTCCTTGGTTATTTGTCTGAAACTAGACGAATCACTTTAAGTTTGCATTGTTATACAGATAGTTTATTTTAACACCCAGTTTGCGAATCATTATTTTACAATTCTGAATAGAGATTTTAACTCCTTACGATGTCTGGAATCTGATTTGTCCACTAGTGTAGCAATAAATTCCAGGTATGAGGGAATAAAACTAAAGCCCTAATCCAAAACCTCATACAAAACACGGCAGTGGCCTTACATGTTGCGCAGTACAATATCTAGTTCCTCAGTTCAATAAAGCCGTTTTCTCCGCGGTTTTCGCGAGTTTCGTCGATAACAATGCTCAAGGAAGGCTCAACGAAACTTACTCGTCACTGGAAGGTGGCTAAGTGCGGTACCTGCCTAAACATGAGCATTTCTACTATTTTGTGCAAAAAAAGACCATAGTCTGGCTAATCCCCTAAACTTTAATGATAAATGAACTATTTTTGCAGTAAACTAGGCTAACAGTTAACTTATCAAGTTCTTTATTGGAGTACTTTTTTTTGTTTTAACTTGAATACCAGAAACCGTCATCTAATCCTTCGAATTCGGTCTCATTTACTCGCAGACTGAGTGTTAATAAAAACTGATGTGTTAAATTTTGGAATGTTACTTTTGTTGTGTTTCAATCATTGTTTTTGTACACGACAGTCAAAGTTATGTACCGTAAAATAAATATAATCTAATCATTCCATTTCCCGCTTATCACTGAATTATACCAGTTTGGGGGAATTCCGCCCATCGTTAGTAGCTATAAACAAGGACAAGTTTAGGTGATATGTTTGATGGTTTTAGTTGTCTCACCTATATTTATACATATAATATGTAGCACTGATGGTATTAACTATTATTCAAATTATCCAGTAAAAAAAGGTGTTTCGGGTAATAAAAATTAATGTGGAGTGTTGTCTATCAATGAACTTACTTACTCTGTATCGATACTGTGTATTCAACGTTTGTCAAGTCACAACAAACCAGAATTTATTTCTTAGTTACTCAGAACGTCCAGTTAAAGAAAACTGTCGTTACGTAGGAGAAGAGGACAGATTATCACTTTCTGGTCGGAAGGAAACTGTCTAAAAAAATCAACGTAGAAAACAAAATAAAGAAGAGCGACAGATCAAAAGAATATAAGGATAAATATAAAACACACAGACTGCTGGAAAAACTATAAGTTAATTATGAAAATTAGATGTGAATTGACCAATAAAAGAATAGGTGAATATTAAAGGAACCAATAGCTCATTCGCAGAAAAGTGAACCTACCAATAGGATGACGGAGTAATATAGAACAACCGGAGTGGAGTTACTAAACACATCCTGGCCAATGAAAATATTTTATAATTTTTAATGGAGTAATATAGAACAACCGGAGTGGAATTACTAAACACAGCCTGGCCAATGAAAATATTTTATAATTTTTAATGGAGTAATATAGAACAACCGGAGTGGAGTTAATAAACACAGCCTGACCAATGAAAATATTTTATAATTTTTAATAGAGTAATATAGAACAACCTGAGTGGAGTTAATAAACACAGCCTGGCCAATGAAAATATTT